GCCCCCTCCCCCTCCAACCCCTCCACCACCAAGGCCTGTGCCAGTCCCACCTCGTCCCAACCCCGCATGCAATCCGGCATGCGCACCACAGTGCTGCATGCCTATGTCATATTCATACCCCGCACCCTACCCCGCACCGATGCCGTATTCATATCCCGCCCCTTCACCGCCAAATTACATCACGATGGGACCTGCCGCTCCAAGTGGATGCGGAGGTTACCCCGGATACCCGGGATATCCCTGTGGTGGCAGCCCGGGAACAGTAGCTCCGGTAGTACCCCCGAAACCCGCCACTGCAAAGCCAAAGAAACCTTGTTCGCCGATCTGTCTCAAGTTCTGTCTGACCATCTGCCCTAATGAATGCTGTAATGCTAAGGTCACAGGCGTGCAAGTCGTTAAACCGTCACCTTCAACGTCTGTCACAGTAGCTACACCATCCGCTGCCTCGTGCCCAGCTAACTGTGCCCAGATATGTGCAACTCCCTGTCCTCAGGTCAGTGTTAAAATATTTCTGTGCTGAACACCTGCCTAAATAACGTCATTCCAACCAATTAGCCCCAAACAGAAAGTTGTTCGAAGGCTGGATAGCGCTATCCCCCGGATAACTGACTATCCAGTGACTAAGTGTTGATAAAACAAACCACGCTATTCACTGGATAGTGATTTATCCGGTGGATAGCGTTATCCACCTTTCAAGCAACCCGGGCCTGGCTATTACTTTAACTTACTAAAACCAAGTAATTAAATTGGTAAAGACGAAGCGTCATTGATGAAAACATGCGCTGATCTACATTCACTACTGCCCAATAACAATCAGATCTGTGATTGGCTAATATGACAGCTGGCGGTTCTTTACAGTAAATTGTCGGCGAAATTGATCATTGTCATCATCATTATCATCAACAACAACATCAACGTCATCATCATCGTCGTCGTCATCATCATCATCATTGTCATGTTTAATCACCAAACAATACAAAGAAACAAAATAACAAAAAAAAGAAGAAAAGGGCGAGGAGACCTCCAGAAAACCACCCGGCTAATAGCGGGGGCCAGCTCAGTCGTTTAAACAGTATAAATTTTAAGCGTTGTGCGCGCGGCATGGTCAATTATCAACTTGCAGTAAAAATGTTTATCGTGGTTGTCACTGACGTAACAATGAGTTGAGATAAATAATACAGATACATTTTCTGTTGCTTACGTAGAGTTGTTGCTCAGGAGGTAAACCTGGAAGCACAGCAGCACCTAGCACAGCCACTGGTCCAGCGACTACCGCTACCACAGGTAAGGCATTTTGAACGTGCGATATGCTCACAATCTTTTTTCTTATGAAACTGAGATGTCTTTATTAACGTTTTTTTGATGTAAGAAAGTAAGTTCACTACGGTAATTGTTTCAAAAGCTAAGAAAAGACCATAGAGGTACTACTTAACCAAAAATGAACAAATGCGTAACGCAACGTTTCAAGTTCGGAGCTCAAGCATTAAACGATGAGTAAAGGCACTAACTCCTTAATGGAAAGCTTAACTTAACGCGGCCAAAACTGCTGAGCTTACTGGAAAGATTCGGAAGCAAAGAGAGAACTCTAAAACGTTTTCCAAGAGGTTTTTCACTTCTCTGATTGTCCTAACAACCCGTTTTTCTGAAGAAGAGATACTATTAGAGGAGGCAGAGTTTCTAGACACTCTGGCTTACTTTCCTTCCTTCCACAGGACGCCCCACACCTGCCCCCACCACAAAGAACCCAAAGCCTGTTTCCTGTGCGGCACCTGCCTGCGCTCCTCAGACCTGCTTGCCGTCGTGCCCCAAGCCTTGCTGTGACAAACCCTTTAATGATATGGAGCTGGTTGCTGGCTGCCCTAGAGTGTGCTACAAACGCTGTGATCAGAGATGCCCCAGGCGCTGCTGCGGTCCTCATCCACCACTCAAGGGTATTGGACACAGGCCCAAAATCAATGACATCGTACAGTCCCCCGACTGCCCAAAGATTTGCGCCGATGTATGCGCCCTTGAGTGCCCTCACAGGTGCTGCGGTCCTGGCTCCATGAGGAGGTCCTTTATTTCGAAAGCGATACCTCGTTTGGCTTACATGAAAAATCAGTATGCTTATGGTCAAACAAGGAACCAGATTCCTTTTCAGTCACGGTACAGCAACACAAGACGATTTGGATTGAAGAAACGAGAAACAAAGCACTATTAAACTACCCCGAAGAATTTATGTAGGTGTACCCCTCAAGTGAGTAGTTTGCAAGTAGTTCGGTTCTGGTTACCAACGTTAAGAGGCAAAAGAAAGAAGAGTAGAAAAAAAGAGATGTAAACTGGAACAGGCACTTAGCAGAAACTGTTTGTAGTATTTTTGTATGACACGTAGCAGTTTTTAAGAACGTTCTTGTTGAGTGGTTTCCAACAAAAAAAGACAGGATATTTCCGATGAAGATAGGAGAAAGAATATTATCTTTAAGAGAGTACTAGTTTGCCTCATTTATCTACATTATTTAACTATGCGACACAACACCATGCGTACATCATGTCATGCATAAATTAGCGACGCATACATCATGAATACATATCATAAATGCACACATTATGTCATGAATATAATCGTCCAACGCGAATATCATTAACTGCATGTATTTTATCATGCATATATTACTGCATGTGTATTTGACATGCGTATATTCACGCCTTTTTACTCGTGTACATACCAAGAGGGCATGCAGGCAACCAACTTGTGTGCTAATTTCGTTTGTTACGAACTGTAAATATACCTCTCCTGGCAAAGGGTAAGGTAGATTTGGAAAAGCTTGCATTGACGAGCAGTTAAGATCTAAGGGTTAAACTAATAAAACAAAATGTATAAATCTGAACACATTGTTTTGAGTGTTTCCTCTCTTGTAAAGTTAGAAAACTTGGACCATGACGAGAAAGCTCTGCTCATTGGTTTCTTCCCTGTCAATCAGTTTGGGTAGTTTGATTGTCATGTTAATTCGAATACACTATTCAAGGATCCTCTCTTCAGTGCAACTTACTCATTAGTATGACTAGCAGGTTCAAGGTTTCTTGTTTTTTTTAAGGGTAGCTTGTATGATCACACTCTTACCTAATTGCCTGATTGCTTACTATGTTGCCAACAAGTTACACTGCTTTTCGCAAACCCCAACCTGCAGTTTTTTTTTTAATCTCATGCAGTCCCTTTTCACTTCTCAAGGTAACTTTACTTTAACATTGCCTGGCAGCGTAATATACTCCCCCGCCCCGCCCCCCTTAAAAATCGACAATGAGCATGGAACATCACAGCGTGTCAAGCGATCAGTTCAGGGAGAATGCGAGTGATGACTAAAAAAAGCAGCAAGGCGGATGGAGGGTAAATTAAAAATATTAAGAACCGCAGCTGTTAAAACACCCGACATTTTAAAAAAATCTGTAAACTCCATAACGACAGTATGACGTCTAACAGAATTTACAACTGAACATGTTGGTTTTCTACGAACGTTTGTTGATTATGGATGACGCCCTTTATACGAAAACCCTTTTGAAGAGATACCCCTTGCCGGTTTGAGGAGCTTTTTCACAGACCAGTGTTCCTTACGAGTTGCGCCGGGGGCCCCGTCCACACTACGCTGGTGGAATTTGAAAACGCAGGTTTCTCTCTTAAAACGTATCAAACGTTTTCCGTCCACGCTACGTCGGAGAAATTTAAAAACGCAACAGTCATGGATCATTTTGATTTGTGTTTGAAGACTCGGTCACGGGAATCACATGATCAACGTGACGCCATCGTTTTCGAAAAGCTCCGTTTTCCAAATGTTTTCCGTCCACTCAAAAACGCAAAGGAGGCGTTTTCAAATTCCTCCGGTTTCAAAAGCGTTTTCGAAAAGCTCCGTTTTCGTGACGGATTAGTGTGAACGGTAAGCCTAACCGTCGAAATAAAGCTGTGTTTTCAAATTTCTCCGGCGTAGTGTAGACGCTGCCTAAATCTAATGTACCGGTCCGGGATTTCATACCTGGGCATGACAATACAGTAATGCGTCTTAGTGACGAATGACGATAACGGCAATGCCGCTCTTGTGTTCTAAAACTGCTTAACGGTAATAAAAAAAATAAAAACTTCTATATAGCGCTTATACATTGCTTTTCTGGACGCTGTTAAATTGCACCAAAAGCGTTCACTGGGCAAAGTATTCCGTCAAATTATTCCGCTCTAAGGATTTTACTTCCCATTAGTGAAAACTATTGGCCTACCAATTTCCCGAGGTCAATGGTATGGGTTAACGACACTTCCATTTACATGTATCCAACCAATCGTTGGGACAGATTTGGGCATTGGACAAAAGAGGGGCGCTATCCATTCGACCAAAAATTCCGGTTGCCATTTCCGGAAATTTCAGGTGGCGAATGGAACAGCATTTTTCCGACATCGCGCAGAATGCCTGGACATCATTAATTATTCATAGCCGGCGAAGCGGTGAATTTGAATGCGGACGAGTGTTCAATAGGTCAGAATAAGAGAAAAAAGGGCCCAAATGGCCAAGTTGGGTTGACAAAAATCGCTTTTCTGATTTCCTGAAGTTCTAACATGAACTTCGGCAAACGGCTTTTGGAAGAGTAATGATTAAACTACAATTTGAGGCTAAACCAAGGGAGATCAAGAAAGTATAGACTATCCCCTTGGTAATAGCTGTTATTGGAGTTGAGTCTGCGGTCAAACATTCTTTTGTTTTAAAAGGCATGCAAACGAGGCGAAAGGGTCAATACAATGCAGAATTGACCCTTTCGCCTCGCTTGTGTGTCAAGCCGCTGGTAACTGCAATAACAGCTGTTGGTGGTACTGATTTGTAGTAGTTGGTGAATGAGAACCACTATCCCGTTCAGTTTGAAAACTGCCTGGTCAAGTCGCGTTCGAAAATTGCGCATTCCAGGCAAGCAAGCCATCGTATTAAGCTCAGGACTGAATAACAACGGCTGTCAAAATTAACAATACCCATTCAAGAAAATCGCTCAATTATAAATTAGTTTCTATTTGCCGCGAACTTCAAAACTGGTCTCTCACCTAAGTCATTAGCCCCCAAATAAAACTATGCGAGTGTATCAAGTGAATAACGGACGAACAACACTACAACACGCGTAACCAAACCGCAAATTGTCCCCTTTTCCTGAAATGATTTCAGGAAAGGAGGTATCCCGAAGTTTTCGCAGATTTCTTACCGGGAATTTCTCTTCCACTTGACTCTCCTCCCGGAATTTCCGAAATTTCCGGAATTTTCGGTTGAATGGTGCGCTTTTCTGAAATTTAACAATTCCCGGATTTTCTCGAAACTTTCCCCGGAAATTTCCATACCATTTGTCCCTGTTTCGAAGTTTTCAAAAGTCTAGGTTGAATAGAAAGTCTCTCGTTCCAAAGTTATGACGTCAGAACCTATGACGTCAACAACCTCGCCGTTTTATCTTCACATGCATTAAGTTCCACACTATACAGTAAAACATTGCAGACAGATAACATAAATTATGTGTTATTTACTCTCTTGAAACATATAACTCTTTTTTAGTATTTATACCTTTGTAAGGCTTTCAAAACAAGCTTCAGTCTTTTTGTATGTTGTGTAGGGGGCAAAAAGGCTTCTTTGAAAGGACTTGGTTTAATCATTACCAGCTAATGAACTAAAGAGCTGATCGTTATTGAAGTAGAGATTTCGCGGGCCAAACCCCTAACGAAACATCCTTCGCATAAAACCCACCAGGGCCGTCCCTACACCTTACATAACCAGATAATTTACTTGCACGTTTATGCAAGACAATAGTTTCTTTTAGAACTAAAAGCTGGGAACTTTCTAAAGATCTTCAAAATGTTTCTCTGAACAATTAAGAACCTGTGGCTAAAATTAATAGCTCATCAAATTGACATGGTGAGCTCAACACACAATAATAAAGCTCAACAAGCGAATATGAAGAGCTTACAGGAATACTCCTGGGAAACTACAACTAAAATAACTAGAAATGTAGAGTAATTTCTTAAACTTAACGAAGTCCATATGCAATGAGTATTTGCAGTATTTAACTGGAATCCGACTCAAACTTCAAACCCATTACTTATGTAAACTATTTCTACCCCGGCCATCGTTATGCATCCTCACTCCCTTATGGATACCAGTCATTTGTAGAGAACACTTGTTCCGCAATACTGGCTGATTCCTGTGATCTACGTATGTTTCAGCTTTGTAGTTTACGTATGTTTTAGCTTTGCAGTTTACATAAGTTTTCACTTTGCAATCCATTTTTTTTAATGCTAAATAAAAATACAGTGACCCTTGAAAGGAATCAACATTTTTACGAAAAAGAGCCGGTCGTCTCGGATACGCTGTGCTTAGCTTTCAATTTTTTTGCACCAAAAATTCAGGGCTTTTTAAGGACGTCCAATGACTTTAAGCCATTCTTTTTACCGATGGATTGACGACAACTCTGTGCTATTATGCACCATTAAAGTCATTACAATTTGCTACGGGAATTTTAGAGATGATTTTATAAACTGTTTACCACTTGAGACTTTTGAATCTATGATAAAACTTTGGGGGGGGGGGGGGGGGGG